GATTCCCCTTGGCTTGTATTATATTTCATTACAGTAATAATGATATTAACATAATCTTACGAAATATATCGAGATTTTGTTCCTGTGCCGTTAATGTGTTGTTCACATATTACAGTGTACATCATTTTCAGTTAAGGTAATATAATAACCGGCTAACAAAAGAACGAAAATCATATTTCCCCTATTCGGAGCCTCTCTAGAAAAATGTGCAAGAGCATCCACAAATGAATTCCGAATGACTGAAGCAGATAACAACACCACCGTCAACCAGATCATATTAAATATTGGGTTATTGTTTTATTTTGGCACACTTAAACAATATTGTCCCTGTTGTAGAGGATTACAACTCTTTGTTTCTCTTTTGATTTTCTTTTGTTTCTTTTGTATCTCTTTGACTGATAATGACGAATTATCTTCGCCCTTCGAGCTTCGCCCTCGTGAAATATTCTTAATCTCAGAGAAACAAAGATTCGTGTTTCCCCTACAGGGAATGTATATAATGTACAATATTTACAGCTATGGAAATTACAGGATCAAATAAGAAGTAAAATCTGTCATACATTTTAGAAAATTAACTTGTAAAATGTAAAACTTTATAGACTAACTTTAATGGCCTTCTCTATACTGACGTATCTAATTATTTCTGATTAACTTGTTAGTGTTTTCAATGGTGACGTCATTTATATCACCGGTTACAAGCAATACTCAACGACACGCAAAGAAAATGATTAGATAACACGAGATTATGTTGTATAAGTTTTATAAGAACTTTATTTAATTTATAAAAAAAAGATAAAATAAAAAAATAAATAAAAAAAGATAAAAAAAAGACCACATTCTTTTTGATAATCTAAAATACGTTGTGTTACGGACAGGTAGGCTTGTGACAAATAATAAATCTCTTGAACCTCTGATTTTTAGAGAATATGAGGAAAGTTCGAAATGTAGTATACCCCTGCCATGTACATTGTTTTCTATAATATCTGTAGGTATGTGTGATCCTGTACACACATACCTACACACACCTACTCACACAGACTATCTCTGTACACACACCTACTCACACAGACTATCTCTGTACACACACCTACTCACACAGACCAGACTATCTCTGTACACACACGTACTCACACAGACTATCTCTGTACACACACCTACTCACACAGACTATCTCTGAACACACACCTACTCACACAGACTATCTCTGTACACACACCTACTCACACAGACTATCTCTGTACACACACCTACTCACACAGACTA